GTTTTTTTATAATATGAATTAAAGGGCGATGGTCGGTTTCTACTATAAAATGTTTACCATATACAAATTGAGAGAATTTTTCTATACCAAATTGAACACCAACTAATTCTTTTTCTATTTGACTATAGTTTTCTTGAGCCTGTGTAAAAGATCGGGAAGCAAATGCACAAGGCTTGCCCTCTTGAATCAAAACAGCACCCATTCCTTTTTTACTAGCATCTACTGAAATTGTAGTTAATTTGTTTACATCATAAAATTGTAAAAAATGACTATCACAAACCATCTCTTTAATTTTTTCAAATGCTGTCTGATGATTATTATCCCACACGAAAAGAACATCTTTTTTAAGTAAAACTCTTAAAGGTGCAGTTAGTTCCGACAAATTTTTAATAAATTTATTTATGTATGTAATACAACCAAGAAATCTTTGTAAGTCAGTTTTATTTTCAGGTCTAGGCATATTTTTTATAGCCTCTACCTTAGAACCATCTGGCTGTAAGCCCACTTCCGAAATTTCATGACCCATATATTTTACCTTATTAACTAAAAATTGACATTTACTTTTATTAAATTTAATATTGTAAGAAGAAGCTGTATCTAACACCTTTTTTAAAATTATATTATGTTTTTGAGGTGTATCAGCATAAATAATTATATCATCTGAATAAATGCTACAACCCTCCATATTTCCAAAGATTTCAGTCATATATTGCTGAAACACTTCAGGACTACTTGACAATCCATAAGGCATACGTAACCAGCAATATCTCCCCCAAGGTGTACCAAAAGTTGTTATTTTTGTGCTTTCTTTATCTAAAGGAACTTGCAAAAATCCTTGTGTTGCATCAAGGGTAGTAAAATATTTTGCTCCGGAAAATTTAATAGTTAATTCTTCAAGAGTAGGTATTTTAAAATAATGTCGTTTAACCCACTTATTTACTTCTATAGGGTCTAAGCAAATTCTTAAGTCCCCATTAGGTTTTCTCACTATTACAAAAGGATTAACCCACTCTGTACTTTCATTTACTTTCTTAATAATTTTTTGTTTTTCTAACCCACTTAAAACATTTTTTAATTTTGCTTGAAGAGCAAAAGGTATTTTACGAATTGGATGGACTTTAGGAATTGCTCCATCTTTGAGTTCAATTTTATACGGCTTCTTTAGACAGCCTATACCTTGAAAGATGAATTCATTTTTCTTTAATAAACAGTTAAGTTCTTCACTAAATTTCTTTATACAAACTGTTTTATCAACATTGTCTACTCTTTTTATTAGATCCAAATCTATACAAGTTTTTAAACCCAAAATTGGTACACTATTTTCTAAATCAACAATGAAAAAAGTAATTAAAAAAGTATTCTTTTTATAGTGACATTCCAAATCAACTTTTCCCAAAATTGGTAATGAATCTTGTGTATAGGAACACAAATTGACAGTAGTTTTAACTATTTTTGTAGGATTTATGTTAATTTTATACAATAAATTAACAGGGATAACATTTACCATTGCTCCTGTGTCTAGCTTAAAGTTGATCATATTTCCCTTCTCTAGATTCAATGTTGTTGACCACACCGACTCCCCAGAAGTTCCTGAGATACCATTTATTTGAGTAGGCTGATTCAGTGGTAAAACTACTTGATTTGTGACCTCCACTGTATCTATAAACAGAAAATTATCTTGAGAATCTGAGCTAGTATCACAAAAATTATTATCTATAAAATGAACATTTTTTTTATTTTGAAAATATCTCCCATTATTTTGAAAAGAATTTTTCATAAATTTTTGATCTTTTGGTTGATTGTTGAATGCATTATTTCTTTTATTCTTATACTGAAAATTACGAGATTTACTTGCAAAATTAGAAGAAAATTTACAAACTGAGCTAAAATGATTAAATTTGTTACATAACTTGCATATTTTTCCTTTGGCAGGGCAGAGCTGTTGGCTCTCATGCTCATAGTTGCACCTCGAACACCTCTGTCTCGGCCGACTTCTGGACTCCTCTGAAACTCTCACGGCTGGTTTCCTTTGTATGGCATACACATTTGCTGCTGTATCACCTTGTCCATTACTTATCACCTTGTTTCGCTGCCTCGTACTCTCTGAACTGATGCACAGCTTTGTTAGATCCTCTAAGGTTTTGATTTGTTCTGATAACAATATCTTCTCTCGTAATGACTCTGAACTTATACCGCATGTTATTATATCTTTGACTAAAGAATTTTCCAAAATCTCTAACTCACATGAAAGTGCTAAGTTTTTCACTTCAACTATATAATTTTCTATTGTTTGTCCTTCTTTCTGCTTACACTTTAATAATTTATACCTTTCAAATGCTAAATTTCGCTTCAGGTTGAAATGGTCATCAAATTTTTCTATCAATTTTTCGAATTTGTCTACTTCATTTTCTTCAAACTTAAATGTGTTGTATATTCTTATACCTTCTTCACCTACGAATGTTAACAACTGTGCACATTTTGTCGCTTCCGGTTTTTTGTCCATTTCGGTAGCCTTTAAAAAAGTTAGGAACCTTTGCTTCCAGAAACGCCAATTTTCCGACAAGTTTCCCGAAAATACCATTGGGTGGATGCCTTTAAACTCCATTTCGATTGAATTATTGAATTTATATCGCAAAAAGTAATATGATTATTACAATAATTTAAAAACTTTTTCTTCATTCGCCAGTTCGCAGCGCCATGTGTTAATGATACGACAGTTGGTTGAACAATGATTTATTAGTCATGTGTATGACTTGACATCTGACAAGGGTACGTTCCGTTACAGTGTTCGCCAGTCCAGTAAGAGAATTACCTGCAGCATCTTCAAAAAAGTAAGGTCCTATGCCACCTCCACACCGTACACCACACCTAACTGTAATTCTGCGGGGATGAAGTGGTCGTTGATGTATGACTTGCGGGTTTTCTAATGCCCAGATACGACAATTTTGTTTGTTAACAAATCCGTTCATGTCGAAATGGGCTTCATTACTCATTATGGTTTTTCGACAAAAATCGTTCGTTTGGTTGTTAAGCTGCAAAATTGCGTAACTGTATTGACGGCGACTTTCGAGCTCTTGGGTTAACTGAATTTTGTACGGCCGCAAAAGTGGATAATGACGTGCGACGAATGCCCAGTTCTTGAGAACGACGTCTGGTAGATGTTTCAGGGCACTCCACTACAGTTTCACGCACTCTACATTTTCCGGGGTAAGAACAGTTCGAACGCGACCCCACCTTGGCAAGTCTTTAACTTCACCGGTTTGTTCAAATTTCCTCACTAATTCACGAATGGCGTTGATACTGGGCACATTATTTCGACCAAACTCTTGTAGATTCCGTATAGTGGCAATTATCGACTCATTATTTAAATAAAACGTTTTAACATTATGAACGCGTTGTAGGATCATGTAGCGTTCCATGATGATGTTAACACATGTGCTTTAAACAACTACTAAAGCGCCACCTACGGAAATGCGTGAATCAAAAATGGCGCGCTATTTAAATCAGTCAGTTATGTATTCGAAATTCGAAGTAGTGGTTATAATATAGCGGTGTTTTTCTAATTGTAATCCGACCCTAATGGAGTTTCCTGGTAGAATAGACACACTGCCGCTTTTGTCAGACTTATTTTATGCATCTATTGAGCCTATTGGTGTTCCAGTATTGTCCCTACTAACTTAGTAGATGCTCGTCTGTCCCGAGAAGATCATTATGAACGCGTTGTAGGATCATGTAGCGTTCCATGATGATGTTAACACATGTGCTTTAAACAACTACTAAAGCGCCACCTACGGAAATGCGTGAATCAAAAATGGCGCGCTATTTAAATCAGTCAGTTATGTATTCGAAATTCGAAGTAGTGGTTATAATATAGCGGTGTTTTTCTAATTGTAATCCGACCCTAATGGAGTTTCCTGGTAGAATAGACACACTACCGCTTTTGTCAGACTTATTTTATGCATCTATTGAGCCTATTGGTGTTCCAGTATTGTCCCTACTAACTTAGTAGATGCTCGTCTGTCCCGAGAAGATCATCATGAACGCGTTGTAGGATCGTGTAGCGTTCCATGATGATTTTGACACATGTGCTTTAAACAACTACTAAAGCGCCACCTACGGAAATGCGTGAATCAAAAATGGCGCGCTATTTAAATCAGTCAGTTATGTATTCGAAATTCGAAGTAGTGGTTATAACATAGCGGTGTTTTTCTAATTGTAATCCGACCCTAATGGAGTTTCCTGGTAGAATAGACACATTGCCGCTTTTGTCAGACTTATTTTATGCATCTATTGAGCCTATTGGTGATCCAGTATTGTCCCTACTAACTTAGTAGATGCTCGTCTGTCCCGAGAAGATCATTATGAACGCGTTGTAGGATCGTGTAGCGTTCCATGATGATTTTGACACATGTGCTTTAAACAACTACTAAAGCGCCACCTACGGAAATGCGTGAATCAAAAATGGCGCGCTATTTAAATCAGTCAGTTATGTATTCGAAATTCGAAGTAGTGGTTATAACATAGCGGTGTTTTTCTAATTGTAATCCGACCCTAATGGAGTTTCCTGGTAGAATAGACACATTGCCGCTTTTGTCAGACTTATTTTATGCATCTATTGAGCCTATTGGTGATCCAGTATTGTCCCTACTAACTTAGTAGATGCTCGTCTGTCCCGAGAAGATATTTCACTATTTCTGAGATTTGTTTGTGTATGTTCTGATGACTCCCTTTGTTACCCCATAGAAGGGTTCTGAGCCATGCAGAGCCTTGACGGCTTCTTCTTGGTCTAGTTACCTTACCTTTATAGACTTTATGTCTACTGTGGCCTGGTATCTAGGATAATATTAGTTTATTTTGATTACCCAATTCAGATAAGGCTTCAAAGCACAAGTTTTGACTATGTAGGTTTTGTTTATTTTTCTCAGCGCTACTGTTAATTATAATTCAAGTGGGGAATCGATTTTTCATACATTTTTTTAAATCTATAATTAATTACTTACTTGGTATTGGTCATTGTTTTGGTACTGGAACCAGTTAGTTGGAAAAGAAGTCAATAAGGAATTAATTGACCCAGAGAAAGAATAATCCTGTTGTCCTGTTGTCCTGTTAGATAGAGGAGATGTGAGACTACTCGATGGAGAAATAACGGTCGCAGTTGGAGACATTTTAGATGAAATTCTAAAAAAAATTAGAACAAATCAAAATGACAAATTTAAAATGAAATTAGCTAGTGGTTAAAAGTTTTATTAAAAACAGAAGTTAAACAAAATTTCTAAGATTCTAATGTTTATTAAATTGATTTATTAATTAAAAAAAAAAAAATGAAATAAATATTTAAACATCCACTGGTAAAAAGAAAGCAGAGAAATTTGAAAAAATTAACGTGCTTCGCCAGGATCAAATCTGCGTTATCTATTATACCGACCATCTAATAATAATAATAATAATAATAATGTTTATTTGTAGAATAAAATTTTACAATAATACACAAGATTTCTATAAACAGATACATTACAGTACATCATAAATCTACATATCATACACATTACACATATCATAAATTTACATAAATTTTTGTAAATTTTTGTAAATTTTTGTAAATTTATGTAAATTTATGTAAATTTATGTAAATTTATGTAAATTTATGTAAATTTATGTAAATTTATGTAAATTTATGTAAATTTATGTATATTTATGTAAATTTATGTAAATTTATGTAAATTTATGTAAATTTATGTAAATTTATGTAAATTTATGTAAATTTATGTAAATTTATGTAAATTTATGTAAATTTATGTAAATTTATGTAAATTTATGTAAATTTATGTAAATTTATGTAAATTTATGTAAATTTATGTAAATTTATGTAAATTTATGTAAATTTATGTAAATTTATGTAAATTTATGTAAATTTATGTAAATTTATGTAAATTTATGTAAATTTATGTAAATTTATGTAAATTTATGTAAATTTATGTAAATTTATGTAAATTTATGTAAATTTATGTAAATTTATGTAAATTTATGTAAATTTATGTAAATTTATGTAAATTTATGTAAATTTATGTAAATTTATGTAAATTTATGTAAATTTATGTAAATTTATGTAAATTTATGTAAATTTATGTAAATTTATGTAAATTTATGTAAATTTATGTAAATTTATGTAAATTTATGTAAATTTATGTAAATTTATGTAAATTTTATACCTACATAGTGGAAGCTCAGAAACTATTATAGCTGATAAAAATCTTCTAATTATATTTTTGAAAACAGCATATCATATGTAGTCAGCAAGAGCTGAAATTTCTTCGGCAACAGATGTACTGTAAATTATTGTTATCATCGTTGTTTTATAGTCACGGGGAAATTAACAATGTAAAATAGTTTAAATAAAAAGTTGGTTCATGGTGTATCTATTTAAATTTGAAGATAATATTATTTATTATAAGTACATCGCTGGGCCAATTTAAAATCTAGTGTGCGAGTATAATAATGATTATAAGTGAACACTTCACAAACAAAAACGAAGCCAAAAATAATTTATTCGTTCGTTAGGTACATTCATAAATAGTGCACAACGGTTTCCAGGTTTTATCCAATTCATGTATACCGAGTGCTAATTAAAAAGTTTTATTTTTTACTTCGTAGCAAATAAATAATAAATGAAATATCAATATAAAAAGTGCTTGATAAAATACACTTTGTCCACCAAAAATATTTGTAGGTCAACCCTTCAAAAACGGTTTAAGAATTGATCAAAAGGAGTGCAGGTTTTGATTGTAAAATGACGACGATGACGAAGTTTTTGTAATGACCTTTTTTAAATAAAAAAAAAAAATATACAATTTAAAAAACTAAGAGAAATAAAATAAAAATTTGTTGAGGTATATATTAAAAATTCAACATTTTATAAATAATAGAATGAACGGTCGGGTACAAAAAAGGATGGTTGAAAGACACTTTTTAAAAAACGAGGTTTTATCTTTTTTAATTAATAGAAATACTCTTTGAAACTAAAAAAATAGAGTAACATTCCTCCAAAAGCAACCTTATAAAATGAGTAATAAGGAAAGGAGAAACGAATATAGTGTGTGGACAAATGAAAATTGTGTGAGTGAACAAATGAAAATAGGTGAGTCAAAAACTAAAACAAAGTGTTGTTGTGTAAGTGGATAAAGTCTCGGAAATACCCCAAGTCCATTCGCATACTTTATTGTTTAAATGTAAAAATGGATGAAACAAAAAGTTACTAGATTTTGGCACGTCGTAGATTAATTACATCATGTTACTATGTCAGGTGGCAGTTATCAAAATAATTTTGAATTTGTCAATTTGTTAAAAATTTGTATATTTTGACATTTCAAAAGTTTTTATTCAACAACATGGTGAAACGATTTAGTGATCAATCAAAAACTTTAATCCCAAACGTAGTCTCCTATTTTGAAAACAAACCTACTTGCGAGGCTCCTGGAAAAAGGTACAATCAAGGCTGCAGATGCATTAAATATTTCGTAGAAAACTATGTGACTTAGTAAACCAACAAATTCTGATACAGAGTATGTAAAATAATATCTAAAAAAGTAAGCCAAAGTAAAACAAAAGTCAATTATTTAATATTAAGTAAGTTGAGGCAAGTTAAATATAAGATGTACGAAGATGCACAACACGTAACAATGAAATCGTTACACAAACGATTTTCGGAAGAAATGACTGATGTGAAATGGTCTGCACGGTCAATTAATAAATGGATTCAAAAAAGTGTCTTTCGCTTTAATATAAGTAACAAGAGACAGTTTTTATTGGAACGAACATCGATTCAGTTAAAAAAAATGTCGTTTTTGAACAATTTTAACAAGGAGAGAGAGCTGGGTAACTTTAAGCTTGTATTTATGAATGAGACATGGGTATATAGCAAGGAAAGTAACAGAAAAAGTTCGCAAGATGTAACGATAGCTACTGCAAATAAAAAAACAGGAGATGGAATTCGATACATATTGTCCATGGTAGCAATGAAGCAGGGTGTATCAAAAATACAGAACTCATACTTAAATAGAACAAAAAGCGGGATTTACCATAATAATATGAACACAGAAAATTTTGAAAAATGGTTTAAGACGATTTTTATACCTAGTTTGGAACACCCTGCTCAGAGATAAGGGACATAAAGATTGGAAACGCAACGACCGCAGCAACGATGGCGTCATCTAGCGTCTCAGATGTTAACTACAGGTCTACGTCATTTGTAGAAAGACCAGTGTTGCCAAAGTAGAGAAGAAAAATGGTATTTCGACAAAAAAAATGTACAATAGATACATGTATAGCAAAATATTACTTAAATGGACTGAAAAAAAAAGGTTTGACATGACAATGTATTTATCTATTTATAAAAATATTTACAACGAAAAAAAAAAAAAAACTAAAGAAAATACATGAAACTTTAAATTAACACATTTAAAGTAATCTAAGACTGTCACTTGAAAGTGATTGAAATTTTGCATGCTAGCTTTTCTTATGCCGTGTTAGTCGGTGTACAAAATCACCATGGTCAAAATCACGATAAGTCAGAACGAAAATGACTGCCTTCACAAATTACGAACGGCCTATGAATATTTGCAAGTAGTTTTTAATTTTTATTGTTTTATATTTTGAAGTTGTTACAGATATTTAAATAAACCTACTAAAAAAGTGAAGATCATATTTTTACGTACGATCTCACTATGAAGACTAGATATATAGTCTTCATAGATCTCACTGATGCAATCATACACGTACAGAGAGTTAAAAAATCGTATAAACACGATTTAAATCATACGGTTGGCAACACAGACCGATAGTAGACGTGGACAGCTGGAGTGCGTTTAGAAACCACGCACGGCGCGTCTGGATCCTATTCTAATGTATGTAGTCAGACCAAAGAGGTTAGAAAGGGTAGAGGTAACATAGGAAGCATTTGTCACTGCGCGAATTTTGCCAAAACCGAAAAACTGGGTGGAAGGAGTAGGGAGATGTTCTGGGCCGGACTTAAATATTTGTATTGTAGTACCTAATTTTGGTAAGTAACTAAAAGATGATAAATTATAAGACGTTTTTTTACTTTATTTGTTAGCACGATTCATTTATGATGAGGGCAATAACACTTTATCATTACATAACTTGCTAAGGGTCGATTCCACCGTTGTGTCAAACGAAGTTTAAATTACTAAACGAAGATTAAAATGACATTGTTAATGTAAAAATGTCATTTTAAACTCCATTTAGTAATTTAAACTTTATTTTTGTTAATATAAAAATGTCATTTTCGTTTAGTATTTTAAACTTCGATTAACAAAACGATGAAATCGACCCTAAGTAAAAGTTTATAAAATTATTGTAACAAAATAGCTGTTGAAACAAAAAGTTATCGAAACAGTCAAAGTACTTTTTGCTCGAATTACACACATGATTTTTTCTACGATCACACCAAAATAAAATAAATAATTAAATTTTATTAGAAATGGGTTACCTTTTCGTTCGTTATAATATTTTAAGTTTTTTTTTGACATAAGCCTACTCTTCGAAAAAAAAAAATGTTTTAGTACTTATATACCGGTAATTATTTATAATTTAATTATTTACGGAAAATACCGTTCAATGATTTAAAATATTAGGAAGTCAATTATTAGCTATTTATGTAACCAGTTACGAAATGCCTTATTTTGTGTAACGAGTAAATATTTACGGGACGAGCGGAGCAAGGTCCCGCAAAATGAACGAGTTACACAAAACGGCATTTCGTAACATGTTTACATACAAGATTTTTTCTAATTTTGTCTTGATTATTTATAAAATTGTGTTGAAAAATAATCATTCTTTTGTAGGTACTTTCAATCAACTATTTTAGAAAATTGTTGTATTTGATTGCCCTAAGACGTTTTTTTTTTTTCAATAGTAATAATAAAAATAAGGGACATGTGCAGTGTTGCCGATCTGATTTTTGACATTACCCGCGAGAAATTTGAAAAAAAAAACATTTTTACCCATTATCCTTAAAGGAGTACGTCAAAATTGTACCCCCAACATTTCTGGGCAGTTTTCAATAACGGTGTTCAATTATTTAAAAAATAAAAGGCAATTTACAGCTTTTCTTTTTTTGTTGTTAAACGTACAGTTCATCAAATTTCTAGAGGCTTTCGACG